GAGTTGTCTAATTCTGAAATTTTATTGTTAATCTTCTGGATTTCTGATTGCTGTCTCTCTATGGATTCTTGCAGCCTATTAAATCTGACATTATGTCCTTGAATAACTTTTTTAAGTTCCACTACTACTGTGTCTGTACATTGCCTGGTTGTTTCTGCATTCTGTTGAATTTCCTCTCTTATTTCTAGAAGTGTTCTGTATTTTAATCTTTTGTATTCTGCCTCTGGTAATTCCAAGAAGTTCTCTTCCTCCAGAGAATTTATTGATTCTTTATTTTATTTTGGGAGCTTGCTGAAGCCATCATGGACTGCCTCTTTATGTGACTTGATATTGACTGCTGTCTCTGAGCCATCAATAATTTATTATAATTTTATTTTGTGTTTTCTTAGTGAGACCTAGCTTCTTATTTTGTTTTGTTTTGATATGCCCAAATAGGCTGCTTATGTGCACTAGTTTGATTTTTGACACCTTTTGATCTCTAATGTCCTGTCACCAGGTAGTTAGTTCTGTAACTAAGTATGTGCACACCGGAGTCCGTTAAAATTTCCTATATGGGATCAGCTCGGGTGTGCAGGCAGTCGGTCACGAAGTGTGTGATGCAGGTTCTCACCCCCAGTCCTAGAGAGCCATGGGTGATTGGTACAGGCACTGGACTCTGTTTGTGGTAGGGGATCACGCGTTGAGCCAGGCAGGGGGCTGACGGCTGCCCCTGAGATTCTGAAAGAAAAGTGGGTCCCTATTCTCTAGGGTGAATAGGTGGTGAGTTTTGCAGCCAGACTAAAAGCACCCCACTCTGTTTGCTGTAAAGACTCGAGGGCACCACTTTTTCTTGAACTTCTGTAGCAGGTGACTAGGCCCTTTAGGTGCTACCACCAGTCCTCAAGACCCTGCTGCAGATCAATAAAAGTGCCTACTTGAGGGGCAGGGCTGTTTCGAGGATCACAAATCTGCCCGGTCACAGCTGAAGCAGTTGAAGTTAAACTTCAGATGTTTGCCCTGTTGTACTGTGGTAGTGAGGGCTAACGTTGTTGAGATGGGTCCCCAGAAGTCTATACAGGGGTGTATGGCACTCAGAGTCTGCGGACCCCTGATTTCTATGGCCAGCAAAGGAGTTGTGCCAACCCTGTGTTTCTGGCCTACAGGAGCCAGCAGCTTATTTGTTCCCTCTCCAAGGCCAGGAGAATGGGTCATGGTGCCTTTTGGGATCTACTTCCGGCCCAGTGGACTCCCGGTGCAGAGCAAGGAGGGAGGAGGTAAAAGGAAGAGAGGTTTTTCCCAGATCCGGTGCAGAGCACAGAGGTATGAGGTAAAAGGGAGAGAGGTTTTTCCCAAATGGGCTTTTTTTTAAATTTCCCTGAAAGGGTGTGCACATGTACTTATCCTAGCCTCTTGGGAACTGCTCTTCACTGGTTCGGAGTATCCAAGCAGAATCTCTGCTGCTGGGTGTCTCTCAATGTGGAAACTGCTTCTCTAGTGCGTGCACTGCACAGCTGTTTGCCTGCTTCACCGTGGCCCAGTGTGGCTGTGTCTCTGCAGTATCGCTGTCGCGGCTCTAGCGTTCCTCACCTCTTCCAAATGGTCTTCCTCTCTGGTATGACTCAGATGGATTTCTTAACCTTGCCTTGTTCAGGGCTGCCAGATGTTCACATACACTCAAATCACTTGCTTTTCCAGGTCTTTGTTGTACGAGGGATAAGAAGCGTCTAACTAGTCTGCCATGTTGACCACGCCTCCTACACAGTAGATTCTTAACACATTATTATCATTATCAGACTCATCACCATCACTACGTATTCACGTGGGCTTTATCAGCCAGTGTGTGTCCTCTCCCTCCACTGCCTCAGCCCTGACATTGTGTACTGGTTATCTATTGCTGGGTAGTAAATCATCCCCAAACTTAGCAGTTTAAAGCACAAATAGTGATTACTCACATTATTGGATGGTCAGGAATCCAGGAGCAGCTTAGCTGGGTGGTTTTAGCTCAGGGTCTCTCATGAGGTTGCAATTAAGGTGACAGCCAGAGCTGCAGTCATCTCAAGGTTGTACTGGGGCTGGAAAACCTGCTTCAAAAGTCACTCATATGGTTTTTTTTTGTTGTTGTTAGTTATCCTCTAGTCAATTCTGACTCACAGTGACCCCATGTGTGCAGAGTAGAACTGCTCCATAAGCTTTTCAAGGATGTAACTTTTCAGAAGCAGATTGCCAGATCTGTCTTCTGAGGCACCTCTGGGGGGGTTCAAACTACCAATCTTTTGGCTCATAGTTGAGCACTTAACCATATGCGCCACCAGGGAGCCATGTGGTTTTTAGCAGACTTCAGTTCCTCACTGGCTGTTGACCTGAGGCTCCCGTTCATCACATTGAGCACTTCTCCATAGGACTGTTCACAGTGTGGAAGCTTGCTTCCCTCAGAGTTAGTGACCCAAGCAAGGGAGAGAGAGTGAATCCACCCAAGACAGTAGCCACAGTCTTTTTATGACCTAATCGCAGATGTGACAGACCATCACCAGTGTAGTATGCTATTGGTCACGTAGACCAACCTTAGTACAGTGTGGGAAAGGGCTCCACAAGGATGCGAATACCAAGAGGTGGGGTCATCAGGAGCCATCTTTGAGGCTGCCTACAACACACAGTTCTCAGCTTCCCTCCTCTGGTAATGAGAACATAAAGACCCAAGCCATCTGTGGCAAGTCCCACCTCGGTGACTCTAAGTCCGTCTTCCAATCTTTGTTTTTGTTTAGACTGTCTCCCAGTTCCCGATCACCACCCTCTGCTGTGTCCCCACCATCTTCCGGCTGCTTGTGCAGGAGGATTTGACCAGGTATAGACCATCTGTTTGGTGCTTTGGGGGCCTAAGTATGTGGATATACGCCACAGTGCCCACAGCACACCCACTCTGTCATTCCATCTCTCTCTCTCACACACACACACACACACACTCACCTCTCACACACACACACATGCTCACGCACACACACACATTCCCTAGACAAGCACTCAGGTACACCCGCTCCTCAAGCAAACTCACTTGTCCACACACACACCCCTCAAAGACGAACTTCTGGCTGGATTTAATAGATTTAAGGCTTTAGGGAGTCTGGAATTTCAGTGCTTGAAGTGAGCTGTCTCCTCACCATACTTCCCTGGGTCATCCCATCAGCAATGTGTCTGTTACTTCCATGAGATTAGAGAAAGTGTTGGGTAATCATTAACCACCTCTAGAAGGGGACTTGTAACTTAAGCCCTAATGTCTTGTGGGACCCACAAGCCACCACATTGGAGGTTCCATCCCCCAGATCCTCTAGCCCCACACTAGCCCCAGCTGGCCACTCTCTGAGTGTATGCCATTGGGCACCCAACAGAAGGAGACAAGAGAACAGGGATGGCTCCCATCCTGTGTGACTCCAAAGCAACATCTGCTGACAAAACACGGCTAGTTGCTGGGGTATGTGGAGGGAGGCCCATCACACTTCAGTAACCCACGGATCCTGATCTATGACTTGTCTTCTACCCTCTCCCAAGTCATGGGGAACTGCCCATTTTCCCTAATTACATGTATCTGACCATGCCATGCCTAAAAGATGAATTTCGTACATGAGACTCAAGATGAACTCTTTTACAGTGTAAGAATTCATCCCATTCATTGATCTGTTCTCTGTATCTCCACATCATGATTTTGACCAAAATCAGGCTCTGAATGATTTATTCAAGAACAATTTGGTTGAAAGATACTTGGCAATACTAAGTAATTTAGCCAAAATCAATTTGATCCAAAGGAAAAAAAATGCTTAAAAATGTATTTGCAATTGCTAATTTTTCACATGTTGGATAATTGGTTGAATTATTGGTTGAGGGGTAATTTTACAACATATTTAGTATCTTTAGGGATTTTTGATCCATTTGTCTAAATTTGGGTGTTCTTCAGAGGGATATGTTTTATCTTTTAATATGTAAATTATTTATCTTTTTCCACCAAATTGATGTATTGACCAATTTATTATCAATCAGCTTGTTTCCAACTAAATTGTTTTGGCTGATTCACCTGGAGCTCCCCACTTTATTCTGAAACCTATTATATGAGGTTCTGATTTTATTGCAACGTCAGGTAGGATTGGTTTTGTTGAAATTATCTGTCCACGGGGAACATCCTGCAAAACCAGAGAATCCCGGCACTTGGAGAAGATTATAAACCATGGGTGTTGATCCTCAAGTGCTTTGGGGAGGGAACTGCACCTGCACTCGGGCAGCGGTGCTGGGGGATAGGGTAGGGTGGAGACACTGACATGGGCTGCCTCATTTTCCCGGCTGAGAAAGGTACCAGTTCCAGAGTCTGAGGCACTGTTTGACCGGAGGAGAGGCCCTCAATCCTAACGTGAGGGAGAAGTGGAAGAGCCAGACGGGCCTGGAGCTGCATGAAGGTTACGGCCAGTCTGAAACAGTGAGTGCTGATGGGCCAGGCTCCCTGCCCAGCACTGCTCCACCTGACCCCTCAGCCAGCAAGTGCCACCTGCCAGCCTGCAGCACCCTCCAGCCTGCCTGGTCCTTATCTTGGAGAGGCTGGTCAGAGACTGTCCTGCCCAAAGGGAGACAAGCTGATAACAAAATGCCATTGGCTCTTCCGTCCTTTTGGTTTCAAGGAGTAAATTACAGATCTTAGATCCTGTTGTTGTTGTTAGTTGCCATCGAGTCCATTCCGACTCATGGCAACCTCATGTGCGCAAAGTAGAGCTGTGCTCCGTAGGGTTTTCAAGGCTGTGATGTTTCAGAAGCACATTGCCAGGCCTGTCTTCTGAGGCACCTCTGGGTGGGTTTGAGCTGCCAACCTTTTGGCTAATAGTCAAGCGCTTACCATTTGTGCCACCCAGGGAGCCCTATATTCTGTTAAATAAAAATATTCCCAAGAAAGGAAAACGTGAAATATTCAGGAGTTAGTTGTCTCTGAGTTGGTTAAGTTTCAAAACTTCCCAAGAGAAGACTTGAGAGAGAGAATGTGGGTATATGCTGTCAGGAGAGGTTCCCTTCTAGAAGGGTTAAAGTTATGGAATTGGAAGGTCAGGAGGTCTAAAATCTGCTGTAGCTTTTTTCACAGTTATACCATCACCTGTAAACCAACTCTCATAACCAAGGGTGTCTGTCCGTCTCCACCAGGACAGATGACATCTGTCTGTGGTCAGGGTCCAGGATCCTAAACAGGGTGCTTGACATCTGTCCAAGCAGAGTTTTGGGGATCAGCTGAGTCTTTTGGCTTAGTGACACGCAAAGTTTGCTATTTGCGAGTACCCATTAGAGTCCTCAATAAATGTTTGTTGATTATGGAAAGAAAAAGAAAGAAAGAAAAACGAGAAAGAAGGAAGGAAGAGAGAAGGAAGGGGTGAGGAAGGAAGGAGAGAGAGAAAAAAGTAGAGATGGTAAGGGAGGAAAGAGGGAGGAAATAAAGGAAGAAGGAGGGAAGGGGCAAGGAAGGAAAGAAAGGAAGCAAGGAGGAAGGGAGAGAAAGAAAAGAAAATTAGGAAGAGAGGAAAGAGGGAGAAAGAGGTGGCAGGGACAGAGAGGCAGGCATGGACTTGGAGGACACTAAAGGAATAAGGCTCCTTCTTACAGGTACCGATCTCTCTCCAGGTTCTAATCTGTGCCAATCCAAGAGGCATGAAAATCAAGTCTGGATCCATGGGGAAAGCATCCCCACCTTACGATGTGCAGGTAGGAAGCCTGCCCCAAATGGTGGTGTTGAGGCTTGGTTTGAAGAGGAGCAAGACATATTCTTCTGGGTTATCAACGCCAGGTTCGGCTGGTGGGGTGGCCTGGCTATGCAGACCTCTAGACACCTTCTGTGATCTCTCTGCCAGATTGTGGATGACAAGGGTAATGCCCTGCCTCCAGGAGAAGAGGGGAATATTGCTGTTCGCATCAGACCTACCCGGCCCTTCTGTTTCTTCAGCTGCTATTTGGTGAGAGGCAGGGAATGGCCATTCTTGGAGAAATTACTATGTGCCAGCCATTGCACTCCACCCTTGATAAACATCTATTTGTTTAACCTTACAATAACTGCGTGAGGTAAGTTGGTACTTTTATTGATAAGGAAAAAGAAGCTAGAAAGGTGAAGTGACTTATCCAATGTCACACAACTAGTACCTGCAGGATGTCAGATTTAAACATGGGTGTGTCTGAGAGGGCCCCTGGGTGGAGTAAATGGTTTACACTCATCTACTAATCTAAAGTGGAGCCTTGGTGGTGCAGTTGTTAAGAGCTCAGCTGCTAACCAAAAGGTCCGAAGTTTGAATCCACCAGCCACTCCTTGGAAACCCTGTGGGGCAGCTCTACTCTGTCCTGTAGGGTCGCTATGAGTCGGAATCGACTCGATGGCAAGTTGGTACTTTTGTTTTTTGCTTACTAACCTAAAGGTTGGTGGTTCAAACCTGCCCAGCAGTGCCATGGAAGAAAGGCCTGGTGATCTGCTTCCATAAAGAAGCCAAGAAAACCCTATGGAGAGCAGTTTTACTCTGTAACACATGGGCTCACCATGAGTCAGAATCAACTCAGCAACGAGTTTAGTTTTTGTTTTTAGTGTCTGAGAGTACAAATATATGACATATGAAGGCAGCCCCATTCCTTCCCTAATGAGAAAACTGAGATTCAGGTAAGAGAAGGGAAGTGACTTACCAAAGGCTGAACCGCAGTTATGCCACAGCCTAGTTCTTCTGACTCTTTTTGTCTCGAATCTTGTGTGGGTGTAGGTTTGCTGGCAGGGCTTGTGCCCTGGGATTCTAGTCCTAATTTCTTGGAAAATCCGGTGATTACCTCTCCCTTCCACTCACCTTGGCTGGTGTTTATGGCAGGCTTTCTTTTTTCCTAATGCCTTTCTATCCTGGTTCTCAATCCTGGCTACACATTAGAAACACTTGGAAAGCGTCAACCATCACCGATGCTTAGGCCCCACCCCAGCCGAATTAAATCAAAACTCCTGATGGCCCAGTTTCCCAGGTGGATGTGCAGCCAAGATTGCAATCCATTGCTGTATAGGGATTCCATCTGGTGTGTGTATTAACCTGCCAATTATCTACAATATTGGAACAAGCTGATAAAAAACAGTCCATTTGTCTCTGGAATGTTCTATGTGATATTTATATTTCAACGGCTTTTCTGTGACTATAAAATAAATACTCTCTCACTGTATTTTGTTTAAAATCACAGAAACTTACTTACCCAAAAATAAAAAAACAGTAATCACGCCAAGCAGAAATAATATTAGATTTAATGTATTTCCTTCTAATCATCTTTGTAGGCAGTAGTAAGTCGTGACCTTCCTAAATATTTGTTCATTGTTTATTGAGTGCCTACTTCATACTGCCAAGTGTGCATTAATGGTCAGGAAAGACGTGATACTTGTGGAGTTTGCATTCTAGTTGGGGGAAATAGAGGATAAATAAAAAGGGGACACTGAGCTTCTGTTAAGGCTGATGGTATAATCTGGGAACGGATAAGGGTGATGGTTGAACAACATGATGAACATAATTAATGTCACTGAACTGTACATGTGAAGACTGTCCAAATGGCAAACGTTCTGTTGCCTATATATTTACCACAATTAAACACACACACAGTGAAGTGATAGAGGATAACCAGGAAGCCTATGTGCATGATGTTCATAAATTCCCAGGTTTGTGAATATTTCTACATTATTTGATGACATAAAGTTCAGTAAAGTATAACTGAATACACAACCTCTTTGGACCTATGATGATTCCACTGAGAAAGTACTGAAGCAAGATGTAAAGCTATTTGCTGGCCAAGAACCTTCACTTTGATATTTTTCTCTCCATCCCTCGCACCAACAGTGGGCTTTCTTTCGAGTTCACTTCTGTTGTTGTTTTTGTTGCTGTATTTTAAGTTTTATTGTGGTAAAATGTATATAGCATAAAATTTGCCATTTTAACCATTCTTAAATGTACAATTCAGTGACATTAATTACATTCACGAACTTGTGCAACCATACCACAAACGCAACTCTCTTCTCCGCATTTCTTTAAATTAAATTATGTCACAAGCCTTTGTCGTGACCCCGTTTTGTTTTAAAACTATGTTCTAATACTATGACCACAGTATTTCTCCAGTCTTGGGTGTATGTGGTAATTTTGCTTTGTATAGATCTGTGCATTTCCTTCTGAGGCTCCCGTGCTCTCGGGTTGGCACTCTCCCTTCCTTCCCCACCCCCATCCTCACAGCAAGTGCCAGTACACCAAGAAAGTTAATCCCTTCCGTTGTTCATTGCCTGTCCTCTGGAGGGTTGCTTGTATGTAAACAGAGAGGATGCCTGCTTGACCATCCCCTTTTCCTCACAGATTGTTCTCTTCAGCGTGTCTTTTTTTTTTTTTTTTTTGTCCCCCTAAGACTTTGTTTTTATTTCTATCTGTAAATGCAATATATATGTACAGTTTATTCATCCATTCTCCCATATATGGTCATTTGGCTTGTTTCCAGTCTTACTGGAAAACTGTGTTTCTTGTGGCCAACCTTAATACACATCTGTGGAACATAACATGTTAAAGTTGCTCCCGGAATGTATCTAGCTGTGGAATTTTTAGAGCACGGGATATGTGAATGTTGAACTTTACAAGAAAATGTTTACTTTTGCTGAAGTTCTTGTACTAATTTACACGCCCACAGAATTCTAAGGGCAGATCACTGTGGTCCCCGGGCACTTGTGGTCTCTTTCGCTGCTACTAACAGTATAATGGTTGGGCCCTGTTGATCAAGTAATTTTTGTAATAGTTGTCCAGGGATATGAAATCGGTCATACCCTTTGGTTTAGAAATCCCATATTTGGGAATTTCTAGAAAGAAAAGAATTCAAAATGTAAAAACTGGCACCCAGAGATATTCACTGCAGCATCGTTTACAAGTAGGGAAGAAATGGAGGTGGGGAGAATCTCAATGTCCAAAACCAGAGAATTGATTGAGTAAATTGTAGTAGACTGACAATCTAAAACCAAAACCAAACCTGTTGCCGCTGAGTTGATTCCAACTCATAGCAACCCTATAGAACAGAGTAGAACTGCCCCATAGGGTTTCCAAGGAGTGGCTGGTGGACTCGAACTGCCAACCTTCTGGTCGGCAGCCGAGCTCTTCTTTTTTTTTTTAATTTTTTTTATTGTACTTTAGATGAAGGTTTACAGAACAAATAGTTTCTCATTAAACAGTCAGTACACATATTG